CGATAACACTCTGGGAACAGAAATCGCAATTGAAGACCAGGTAACATGTTGGAAATGTGCTTTGGTATTAATTTTTGGTTTTGTATCACAAAAAATAAATAAAGCTGAATGTAAGTTCTGTTTCTTCCAAAATAGATATGTCAAGGTTTAAAGCTGACATTTGATACTACCTTCTCACCAAACACAGGGTAAGCATGGACATTTTTATATGCATTAAATTTAAAAAGCATTATTCTTGTCAGTTTAGGAAAGTTGTGCATTTGTTGACATTTAGCTAAACTGTCTGGCAATGGCTAACCTCTGTTTCTGTTTTTGGAATACTGTGGTTGTTATCATTGGCTTACTTTCAAACATTTGCCTCTTCATTGTGGCATGAACTTGGGTAATTCACTTATTTCTAAGAGGCTTTCGTGATTGTCAGTTCTGCAAAGCAGTCTTCTTTGGTGGGAGTCCAGCTACTCCATGTGCCCTTGTCTTTAGTTCATTGAACTGTTTTTAACCCTGCGATTGTATTGTTACTTCCTTCCCAGTCATACTGCATTTTAACTCTATTTTGTGCTCTCTCTGCAGAAGTTATGTGTAAATTTTTGTTATCGGCATCAGTTTTAAGTCAGTTTTTCCCTCTTTTCCAGAAAGAAAAGTGGTAAAATCAAGTCCTCTTACAAGAGGGAGTGTATAAACCTTGGTTGTGATGTTGACTTTGATTTTGCTGGACCTGCAGTCCATGGTTCAGCTGTCTTTGGTTATGAGGGCTGGCTTGCTGGGTACCAGATGACCTTTGACAGTGCCAAATCAAAGCTGACAAGGAATAACTTTGCAGTGGGCTACAGGACTGGGGACTTTCAGCTACACACTAATGTGTAAGTACTTCTTTTGTAGGATATTGTGATTTAGATCCTCACAGGATGGTATTTGATGTCATTTCTAGTCATCTTTATTAATCTAGTTTCAACCCAAAGATGTTTCTTTTCTTTTCTTTTTTTGTACTGAGCCACATCCCCAGCCTTTTTTTGTATTTTATTTAGAGACAAGGTCTCACTGAATTACTTAGGGTCTCACTAAGTTGATGAGGCTGGCTTTGAACTCAAAAACCTGCCTCAGCCTGCCAGGCCACAGGGATTACAGGTATGTGCCACTGTGCCTGGCAAGGGTTTTTCTTAACAAAATTGTCCTGGCTATTTCTAGGGTGACTGCCAGAAGCACAGAGTAAAAAATGTACCTTGGATGTTGAGAGAATAAATGTTCATTTCACAAGAAGTTTGATGTGCTATCCATCTAAATATCAATATTTTTTGGTACTGGGGATTAAACCCAGGGGTGCTTTGCTATATCCTCCCCCACCCCCAACCCCCTTAAAATTTTTTTTTGGGGGGATAGGGTATTGCTAAATTGCTGAGGCTGACCTTGAATTTGTGATCTTTCTACCTCAGCCTCAGCCTCCCAAGTTACTGGGATTATAGACATGAGCCACCACAGTGGGGTGATATGTTTATATTTTGAGAAGAATCATCAGACATTGGTAGACTGTTGCAATGCATTCATTTGATAGAATCACAAATGATGTGGAGAGTACTGATTTGTTAAGATTGCCTAAAATGTATGGATAGATATGTGGAAAGATATATCTATGGATAGATATATGGGAAGAACTTAACTTTTTTTCCATTATAGAAACAGTTTATTGGTAAATAACAAAAGCATAAAGAAGAAAATATTTCCATAATGTTATAAGCTATATATAAAATGTTTATTAATGTTTTGCTATTTCGCCTTTTTATATGTTTATATATATATAAATAAATAAAATATATTTATAAGGCTGTTCCCCTTACTTAGTACATTTAGATAATTTTCCCATAACTATGCATTTGAAAGCATGATTGGTCATGGTGGTGTGATAATTCCACTGGGTAAATGAACCATGATTTATTGTACCCATCGCTGAACTGGAGATATGGGTTAGGAAAAGACTTTCTATTTACTTTTCTATCTATCTATTTACTTTTCTTTCTTTCTATCTTTCTTTCTATCTATCTATCTATCTATCTGTCTGTCTGTCTGTCTGTCTATCTATCTATTTGCGGTTCTGGGACCTTGCACTTGCTAGGCAATTGCTCCACCGCTGAGCTGTATCACTAATCCTAGTAATGGTTTTTTGTTTAAATGTAGTCCTACAATATCAGCCTGTGCCTTAGAAATGATTACATTGTCTGTTATTACAGATTTACTAATTTAAGATATCTTATAGCAATGATGGGACAGAATTTGGAGGATCCATCTATCAGAAAGTATGTGAAGATCTTGACACTTCAGTAAACCTTGCTTGGACATCAGGTACCAACAGCACTCGTTTTGGCATTGCAGCTAAATATCAGTTGGATCCCACTGCTTCCATTTCTGTGAGTACTTCTGTGGTCTTAATGGGGTTTTGGGTTGTAGGAATCAGTCTTTGAGTATATTGAATTGTGTTGAAAATTTGAATTACAATGCAAACAATCCCCAGTTTACATATTGATTAGGATTAGAATTTGGAATGCTGATCTTTCTATGGTGACAGTGTTAGGAGGTTTGATTTCCAGACCAAGCCACATAAGTTTGTTTAACCTCAAAAGCTGCTGAATTCATGTTAATAATAACCCTGAGCCCCAGGCTTGTCTAAGCCTAATGGTAACCAGTATTTTGGGCCCTGAGTAGTTCTTATTTGTGTTGGGGAATAATAGTACTTTTTGGTTTTGGCAGTATTAGGAATTGAACTTAGGGGTGCTCTGCACAAAGATACACCCCAAACCTTTTATTTTTAAGACAAGGGCTCACTAAGTTACTGAGGCTAGTCTCAAACTTGCAATCCTCCTGTTTTAGCTTCCTGAGTTGCTGAAATTACAGGAGTGCAACCCTGTGCCCAGCTGGAATAATAGCATTATTTCTTCAACTTTATCTTTTTATGGTTTATGAAGTATCTTCAGATTAGATCTGAAAGGTCATTGGTACACATACTGTTTTGCAGGTTAAGAAACCGAAGCTTGACAGAGGAAAGGACATAAAGCTATTGTTGTGGGGGAGGTGGAGTGGAAAGGGGAGAGGAGCCAGGACTTGGACCCACGTGACTTTTAATTTCAGTCCTGTCTAATGTGTGCAGCATATCTTGCTTTGCCCAAGACCTTTCCTAAAAGTCCTGCATCTTGAGAACTTCCTTACTCTTGCCAAGTGGGATGGTTCATCCCTATCCCTGTCCTTTTCTGCTGTTTATGCCTTCAGTCCACAGTGGTTTAAGGTAGGAGAAAGTGCACTGTGAGAGTGTAGAGGGGATGGCTTCAATTTCAGGCAGGTTAGCAGCTGTTCCTGTGTGTCAAGTTGCTTATTGGTCAGGAACTGCCTGTACTGTATGTACTGGGAATGAAAAAAAGTTAAGCCATCCATGAAAGTTATTTCTGTTATGTAAAGTGCTCTTCATTCCTAAGGACAGTATGTTTTAATAATTTAGGTAGTTAAGTTTTAGTCCCATTCTTGTTTTATCTTAGTCCAGTTGTGATCAGAGAGAATGAGAAGCACCCAGAATGTTTTTCCCATTGGTAAAACTGTGATTCAGATATTTTCCCTTTCTTTCCCCTCCCTCCGTGCCTTTCTTCCTACCTTCCTTCTTTTTTAAAGTTGTTTATGGTTATACATAGTAGTTGGGCTTATGACAAACTCAGACCTGCATGGAAATCAATTGCAGTTCATGATTGCCCCCTTTTCTTCCCCCTTCACTGTTTCTAATTGCCCCGTAGCAATAAAAACTTCATAGTGCACTATTCTCTGAGAGTTGCATTACTGTTCTCTTCAATTGTATGACTGTGGCACCGTCATAGATTGAATGCCAGCCAGCAGAAGCTCCTAGTGGTTCATGGTATAAAATGGGAAGAAAGCTGGGACCTGTGTGTCATTGAGTGACTGCTGGGAATTAGTTTGGAAACATCTAGCATTTTACACTTAAGTAGAGCCACTGTCACTCCAGTCCAGAAGCACCTAGAAAGCATTGCTTAACCCTCTTGTCATAGTTGGATGGTTGATTCCTACTTTTAAATAATAGGAACTTATATCAACAGTCTGAGACTCTTAATTTTTGGGGTAAAAGCAAGTCATTAGTGAGGGTATGTCTTCCTTAGACAAATAACTCACGTGATCAGTAGTGGCCCTTGAAGACTTGTTATAGTGTTGTGATTATAAGTGCTATGTGGTGACTTTTACTTGTACACTTAAATCATTTCATTCTGGGATTGTGTGTTGTTTCAATGTTACACATTGTAAGCATGTAGTCAGCAAATTATTCCAAGTCTGTTTTGCTCACAGGTTGTTTAACCACCTTTATAATACCATATTCAGAATACTGAAGAGCACAGTTACCTGGCTAGGCCCAGCTTAGGACCTGGAGATCAAGGCAGGTTGCTTCCATTTTAGCCATAGGCCTCTGAGTATGGCTTGATATTGTTAATGGAAATAGAGAATAGAGCTGGAAGGAGCTTCTCTTTACCTTATCTTGCTCTCCAGCATTCCTGCCAGTCCTTGAAAGTCTGTGACTAAATCCTAGAATGTTAAGATTCTACAAGGAAGGCAGGGCCCTGAATTGATAAAAGATGCCCTTTGGAACCTCCTCTCAGGCACAAGACTAGTTAACACAGCTAGAACCCAGTGGTTTAAAGAGAATTGTGAGAATGTGAAGTAATAGGCTATTATTTGGTCTATTCAGTGGAGGAAGGATTTCTATTTGAAGGTTTTAGGAAGAGTCCTGAAAGTAGTGATGTGTGTGTGTAAGTCACAGAATTAAACTTTATACCCTACATGTCAGAGCTGGTGTGTGTCACCTCTAGTGAGCCTGGTGTGCTTCATTGGCCACATGGTTTATGTGAGAGTAGTTAGGTTCTTACACTGTATGGACAATTCGTGGTCTGTGGACACATCCTAATAGATGTCAAGATGTTGGGCCCAACTCACAATTTGATTTTGAGTCGAATGCACAAGAATTAAGTGGATCTGGATTTTATTTGGCTTAGTACACAATGTTAAATTTTCTCACATGAATTAACAAGTTGAACTCTTCATACCTACACGATAGGGAAACATACAGGAGCTTTGTCTTTGCATGTAAAGTTTTTTCTTACAGTTATTTTTGAATTTTATTTTAGGCAAAGGTCAACAACTCTAGTTTAATTGGAGTGGGCTACACTCAGACTCTGAGGCCTGGTAAGTATTGTTGATAAAGTAGGATTGTTTCATCAATATTTTATTTTTTTATAGTTATTTTTGGTATAGGGGGTTGAACCTACATGTCAGGTGCTTTACCACTGAGCTACATCCCCAGCACCCCCGTCCTCCCCACCTACCTTTTTTTCTGAAAAAAGTCTTGTTAAGTTACTGAGGGTCTTACTAAATTGCTAAAACTGGCCTTAAACCTCATGACTCTCTGCCTTCATCTCCTGAGTTGCTGAAATTATAGCTGTGTGCCACCACACTCAGCTTGATAGTATTTTTTTTTAAATATATTTTTTTAGATGTGTGGACCTTTATTTTATTCATTTATTTGTATGTGGTGCTGAGAATCTAACTTAGTGTCTCACACATGCTAGGCAATCATTCTACCACTGAGCCACAGCCTCAGCCCCGAGCCTGATAGTATTTTAAAAGTTAATTTTAATTTCTGATTTGCAGATCTTTAAAGCCTATAGAAGACTGATTATTCCTTTTTTTTGCTCCTTAGAATAACATTCTCCTGCTTTAAACCACAATACTTTTGTCACATTTAAGACAACAGTGACTCCTTATTATTTAATATCCATTCCCTGTTCAGTTTCATCATGTATCTGAGATGTCTTACATTTATTTTTATTTTGTCAAAGTTCAATCGTTGTTTTGGCTCTGTCTCTGTAGACTCTTTTATGTAGGATTTTGTACCTTGCTGTTTTTTATAGCAGGACTTCTCCAACTTGAGCATGCACTTAATTGACCTGGGAAGGCTTCTTTAAATGCAGATTCTGATCCAATAGGTCTGAGATGGGGAGTTCTGTATTTTTAGCCTGCTCCTCAGATTCCCCTAGTCCTAGAAAATTTCACTATCAAGGATCTAAAGTTTTTATCTCCCTCCCAATAAGGATTTTGTCCCCAAATTTATTTTGACTAGTTTAAAGAAAAGTCAGAAGAATGATACAATGAATACCCATCTACCTTTTCTTTGCATTCACTAGTTACTGCCATATATCACTTTCTTAGTACATGTAATCCACCCCCCCCTTTTTGGCACATGTTTTTTTTTTTTTTTTTTTTTTTTTTAAAGAGAGAGAAAGAGAGAATTTTAATATTTATTTTTTAGTTTTCGGTGGACACAACATCTTTGTATGTGGTGCTGAGGATCGAACCCGGGCCGCACGCATGCCAGGCGAGCGCGCTACCGCTTGAGCCACATCCCCAGCCCTGGCACATGCTTTTAAATAGTGTTTTGCAGACGTGTAGATTCACAACCCTAACCTGTATAGCCTAAGAGTAAGATATTTTTCTTCATAACTATAATACTATCATCATATCTAAGACTATAATTTACCTAAGATGTAAACTATGTTCAGGTTCCCCACTTGTCCCCAAAAGTCTCTATTGTTTTTCCTTTCTGGGGTACAATTATGATTTGGTCTCCCCAGTATATTTTGGTCCAGATAGTATGAGCATTATTGCATTTCCTATAACACTTTTGAACTAATGTTCTGTAACTTGCTAACCTTACCTCATGAAGATAAGATGCATTATAGTAACCTAACCTAGCTCTCACAGTACCTGGATACTTCCAGGCGCCCTCTGGTGGCTGGTACTAGTATTTCAACTGCAGGCTGAGGAAGTTACAGCCAGGCTTTGTGTGGTTATTAAAGTGAACTCTTGCAGGCCCCTCATAGTGGTTTGCTTTGTTTACAGGTGTGAAGCTTACACTGTCGGCTCTGGTAGATGGGAAGAGCATTAATGCTGGAGGCCACAAACTTGGGCTTGCTCTGGAATTGGAGGCTTAATCCAGCTAAAAGAAACCTCTGGGAATGGATATCAGATTTGGCCTTAATATATTTCCATTGTGACCAGCAGGCATTTTTCCCCCCAAGAAGGTGATCAAAACAAGGATGATCTGAACAAGAGCTGTATTTTAAATATTTAGACAGTTACTTGTTAGCTGGTTTCTAGTTGAATTGGTTATCTAGTTACCAATGCTGCAGTCATGCAGTCACCTATACATTATTTAAATGTATTTAACTGTTAAATGCGCTACCCACCAATAATGAAATAGACCTTTATGAAAACTGTGCAATTGTGTGCATGTTTGTTTTTATGTTCCCTTTAACATCGAATATTGCCATAGAATAAGATGGATCAGTGGATGTTTTAAGATGAGGGTAAAGATTTTTTTGTTAAATTCAACCATAATTAGAATTACTTTTGGTATCCCAAAACATTACAAATTATGAATAAAACAAGTATACATAATTAATGGCTCCAAGTATTTGCAGTTAAAAATTTGCCAGCTAGGGTCAAATCTCCCTGATATTTAGCTGATTCTTTATTTTTCTGGTGAGCATTTTGCTCTTAATTCTGTGCCACAAGTCCTGTCTCTCTAGAATTCCAGGAGCTTTTTGAGACTACAATAAAATAAGAGGATATACCCAGTTATACTCTTCAGTTTCTAAGTTTGTACAGAATTACACTGATTCATTGTTAACCTCAGGAATGGTGGGAGAAAGTGATGAGAATAGGACAATGTAGGGATCATGCTGGAAGATTATATATGCACACCAGTGCCCCTGTGAGCTATTGTTTGGGCTTGCCCCGGAATTGGAAGCTTAATTCACCTGAAAGAAACCCCTGGGAATCAGAAGATTTGACCTCAGTATATTTCTGTTGTGACCTGCAGGCTTTTTCCCCACAAGAAGGTGATCAAGGATGATCTAAACAAGAATTGTATTTTAAATCTTCAGTTACTTGTTAGTTGGTTTCTAGTGAAACTGGTTATCTGGTGACCAGTGGTGTACCCCTAAATCAGTGGGATGGGAGGTAAAATGTAGACAGCATTGATAACCATAGGGTCTGAGAGGGGAAATATGGGTCCTAGTGGGAAGTCATCACATCACTCTTTTCCATCCAGGCCGACATTGACTGGAAAGCTGTGTTAACCTGTGAGATCAACGGCAATCCTCTTGGCCTTCATCTGGGCATGAATGATTGATGTTAATGGGTGATTCTGGTTGGAAAAGTCTAAAGAACAAGTTTTGTGATAGGAGGTGCTAGTTTGAAGGATAAAGCCAAAGAGAAGGGGAAATTTGTTGAACACATCTGAAGTACAAAACCTAAAGCTCAGTTTGCAGCTTGAGAGAACAGATTAAGACAATGGAGTACTTTGGGACTTATCATTCAAGAAATGATAACATGCTAAAAACTTCCAGGTTGAAAAGAATCTGATGAGAATAGAATTCAAGCAAGCTCTCCATACAGAGACTAAGAGGGACAAGAGGCCTTTTTTGGTCTGTTATGGTTCAGATATGAGGTGTCCCCCAGAAGCTCCTATGTGAGACAATGCAGGAAAGTTTAGATGTGAAATGATTGGGTTATGAAAGGTTTAACCAATTCAGTGAATCCCATGCTAGGCATTGACTAGTAACTTGATAGCCAGTAGGTATAGCTGGAGAAGGTGGGGCATGCCTTTGGGGCTTATATTTTGTTGTGAGGAGTGCTGTCTCTGCTTCCTAGTGTGATGTTCCCAGATGTTTTCCTTTCCTATACACTTCGGCCATGATGTTTTGCCTCACTTCAGACCCCAAAGAATGGAGTCAGCCATCTATGACTTAAGACCTCTGAAACTGTGAACCCCCAAATAAACTTTTTCTCCTCTAATTGTTCTTGTCAGGTCTTTTGGTCACAACAGTGAAAAAGCTGATAAAATAGGTCGCACTTGTTTTTCCTAAGGAATTCAACGTAGTGGCCCATGTAAATAGGGATGGATTCTCCAAAAGGCTGTCTCCCCAGACACATGCTGCCTCCTATGGGCATGGGAGCAGGTTGGAGGTTGCAATTTGAGTTAGACCTATTGCTAGATAAGAAAATGAAAAGGTGTCCCTACATGCTAGGTATGAAAACAACACTTGTACTTGGGATGTAGGCTAGACCTGCAGGGAGGAAATCTGGTCTTCTAAATGACCTTTTGCTTCTCAGCTAATCATTGTGCTTTCTGCTGCAGTTGAAGTTCATCTGATTCAGTAATCTGGACTGTAGTGCACACAGGTTTGAGTTACTCGGTCACCTGTGTGCATCCTAATAAGCTTTTATGAGTTAGAGAGAATAGGGTAGTTGTAATATCTAGGACCCTGAGGATTGTGGAGAATGCCAGGTAAATCCTTGGAGCAGCAAGATTATGAAAATCTGCAGTTACAGGTTCATGCATCTCCTATAACTTCTAGTAGTCTTCAGGTGCAATTCCAGGTGGCAGCAAAGCCTATTGTAAGTGCCCTTTTGCCTGAGGCCTTGAAGTTATTGGAAAGAACCTGACTTTCATTCGTCTTAGAGACAAGATCTTCCTGTGGGTTGGGGATATTTGAATGAAGCAAAGAATCTGGCTTGAAGGTCCCTTAAGCCTAACTGCCTTTTCCTCTCCTTTAAACCAGCATGCTGGAAAACCTAAAGTTCTCTTTGTCTAGGAAATGTGTTTAAAATTGTCATACTGAAGGTCTGCTACCGCCAGGCTTGTTGCTTCACATCTTGGATAGCAGTCCCCTCATCTTCAGGACGTAAGGGGGACATTAGGGTATTTATTCAAGCCAAACTTGAGGTTCTCAGAGGTAAGGCAGGGGAGCTGATATTTCTCTGAAAATGTGGACAAATGGCTGACAGAACTAGCATAACTTATAGAAATACCTGTGGCAGTGCTGGTCCCCTGCAAGTCCTTTCACACTGACAGATCCCAGATGAGGTCTCCCCACCAGTCCCAGTTGCACTGTGCCAGGAATTTCACCTGTCCCTGATGGAGACATAGAAATGGGACCAAGAGGGGATGCACTTTGAATCCAGCCCTCAGACCCTGTTAGGGGGAGGCAAGCTTAAGTTGTTGGGGCCTCTGGCCGCTACATGTAGCCAATTAAAACTATACTGCAAGAAGTGAAGGGCTGAGACATCAAGGACCCCTTTCACTGAAGATGCTACTTGTGCTGAAACTCTTCCCCACCCCCATTCAGTGCCAGATAGGGAGGAAACTCAGGAGGATTTAATTCCCAGCCCCACTTTATTACAGGATTTAAAACTGAAGTCTGATTCCAGGTTCCCTCTCTGAGCTCACAGGCTAAAGGCCAGGCTTAGATCTTGAAGGCCAAGGTGAGGCCGTCGCCTAAGGGCAGGAGGCTGATGTAAACCCTGGCATCCCGCCGGATGCGCTCATTTAGGTTTCGCACACTCTCAGCAGCGGTGTCCCCTGGTTGAGGCTGTAGCACCTCTCCGTTCCAAAGTACCTGTGGAGGGGCGGAGCCAACCAGGCCGTGGAGGCGGGACCTCAGAGAGGTGCTGAGTAGCGGGCAGGGCAAGAGCTGGAGACTCAGAACTCCAGTAGGGGGAATGCCTACGGACCCAGCTGAGGGGAGAGAGGGGAGGAACCTGCAGTGTACCTGTGCTTTGGGCACAGGCAGGAGCCATGAGAAGTGGCAGCCTGGAGAGGGGATTTGCTTTTCACCCGGGTCTAGCCCTTACTCTAGGGATGGCGAGCATGCCTCCGGGGCGCAGCAGCTGCAGACATTGCTCATAGTAGGCTGTGCAGTTCTCTTTGTCCGCGTCCACCACGGCCACGTCGAAGGTGCTGGCCTCTCCTGCCGCCAGGAGCTCGTCTTGCAGGAAAGAGGGGCAGATGGCACCTGAGTCTCAGGTCAGGGTAGCCGGAAGTCCCTGCCCAAACCAGGCCAGGTGTTGTGATAGGCTGGGCCCGGCCACGCAGGGACACCGACCCTGTCCACCGCATGTGGCAAAATACCATGAGGCCTGGTGAAGGGAGGGGACGTCAGTACCCTCAGCCCGCTGGGCAGACCTGGCCACTAGCTTTCACTTGGTGGCTCTATTTCATAAATGGAAAGGCCTTTCCTGCTCCGGGACTCACCCAAGGTCTCCAGGGCTGGCTTCAGCCGAAGGTCGATTTTGTGATCCATCTCAGCCTGCGGAAGGAGCGAGGTCAGCCAGCATGCTCCCTCGCCCGGAACTGACCGGCTTCAGGTGTATGGGACACTCACCTTCCTCCACAGCGGCCGCCCCAGCTCCGGGGGCCCTGCGTCCACCTCGCAGGTCACCACACGCCCGGCGGGGGGCAGCGCCAGGGCCAGTGCCAGGGCAGAGTAGCCAGTGAAAGTGCCTGGGGATGTGGACATGAACAAGCTCAGCCCAGGGTGGGGGACAGCCCAGTGACGTCGGCCCCCAGTGATCTGGGCCTCGCACCCCTACCCAGGTCCAGCGCCTTCTTGGCCTTGATGAGTCGTGCCAGGTTGGCCAGAAGCTGCGCCTGTTCACAGGTCATCATGTAATCTCCATGCGGCTGCTCCAGAGTCAGCTGTGTTTGGGGAAAGAGTGACACCATGCCTGCCAGTCACCTGCCCTCGCCTCAGTTTCAGAGGCCCCGGGGACCGCGGGCTCAGAAGTGGGCGTGGGCCAGAGGGAAGGGGTGGGGTGTACCCGGAAGCCCAGAGAGAGCCACCGCCCAGCCCAAGGTCACAGAACCACGTGGGACCCACCAAGCCCGGGATGGATGCCCTTTCTCCTCCCCGGCCCTACTGACCAGCCGCAGGCTCCGTAGTGCTGGATGCTCCCGTATTGAGCGACTCAGCAGATACTGCCACAGGGGACTGTCTTCTGGGGGAAGCAGGTGTCGCTGTCGCCGAAATCGCCACGAGGGCCACCGTCTCCCTGCCAGAGAGAGGGAGGATCAGGGCTTGGGGCTCTGGGACACTGGTGGTCAACCTGAGCCGCGGCCTTCTGCGCGGAATCGCGGGCTTTGCTCCTCGCTTTCGCTCCGGGTGCGTCCGTCCGCCCGCCCGCCCGCCCGCTGGGCTCTGCAGCGGCTGCAGCAGCCCGACCCAGCTCACCCAGGAAGAGGCCAGTGGCGAAAGCGGCGCCCAGCGCGGCCGAGCCCAGGGCCAGCGTGGCGGGCAAAGAGAGCCGGGGTACAGGCTGGGTCATGGCGCCGGTGGGAGACAGCGGCAGATCACGTGCGCTGGAGCCACCAAGGCCAGACTCTGATGCGGGGCCGACTGGGCTCCACCTTGTTGCTGCCTTGTCCGCGGAACGTGGCCTCTGGCGCCATCTGGCGGCCACATAGCTTAACTACAAGATCCGCTCAAGACGGGCCAGGTACCATCTGGTGGCCGTATGTGGAACTGCGCCGGGGCCGAGAGTAGGACTCGCATCTAGGGTCTGAAGTACCAGATTTGGTGGTCCAGACGCCTGGCTTCCAGAGCACAGATCTAACTTCTAATGCCCCTACTCGTTCAGCTTTTTTCTCGCCATCGCTTCTGTCGAGGCCGTAGGGCATATGTCGGTGTGTGTGTGTGTGTGTGTGTGTGTGTAGTGCAACTGTAACTAGAGTGTAACAAATACAAGTGATACAAATAAAGAAGCCCCAGAAAGAAACTGGACCTCCTGGTGGAGGTGTCCAAAGGAAGAAGTTAAAGGAAAGAAGGATCTGGTTAGGAAATATGGTGGCCGTGGCGTTGGGGGTGGGTGGCTAATGGAGTGCTGAGACAATACCCTTAGTGGTTGGAATCCTGTCCTTGGGTGCCACACATGAGTGTGTGAGCTTTGGCCTGTTAATCTCTGAGTCTGTTTCTGTAAAATGACAAACCACAATCTTACTGTAAAAGTCACCAGATTCCAAAGCTTGACACACAGTACGTGCTCAATAAATAGCAGCTGCTGTTTTGATCACTGGAGTAAAGATATTTTGGGGAGACAGTGACTGAATGGTAAGTGAGGTCCCTTGCTGGGTTGTTCTGCTGGAACGATATTCGCTGACCACTGGTTGATGGATTGAAAACCTACTATAGGCCTAACTCTGGGGAAGGTGAAAGGCACAGTACTGGCTTGTATTTTTCTTCCTTTCTTTATTTCTTCCTTCCTTCCTTCTTATCTTTCTTTCTTTCTCTTTCTTCTTCTTCTTTTTATTATTATTTTTTGGTGTCCGGGATTGAACTCAGGGGAGCTCGACCACTGAGCCACATCCCCAGCCCTATTTTGTATTTTATTAGAGACAGGGTCTCACTGGCTTAGAGCCTCACCATAGCTGAGGCTGGCTTTGAACTTGTGATTCTCTGTCTGACCTTCCCGAATGCTGAGATTACTGGTGTGAGCCACAGCGCCTGGGCTGTATTTTTCTTTTTGAGTGCTGGAGAATTAATCCAGTGCCCTCCTCTCACACCTTAGGCAAGTGCTCTGTTGAGAGCCACATCCAGGTAGGGATGGCGCCTGGCATTTTGCCAGAAGGAGTGGTTGAGAAGTAAGCCAGCATATTCAGTTGTATATATAAACCTCTGCTGCCCGGCGGTGGGGCGGCTCCTGCTACCTCCAGTGCCCGCTACTTTTGAGTTCTCGCGGAGTTCCCCTTGAGTTTTTCCCGGTTTTCGGAGGAGTTCTGGAGTGTTCCCTGGGGTTCTGGCAATAAAGTAGTTCCTGTTTGAACCTATAAGTGCCTTGTGGCAGCTCGGTTATTTTGTGCCCAGCCAGACTGCGGCAGTGCTCTACCAATGAACTAAATGCCCAGCATTTTTTAGCCTTTCTCTTTTTTTCTGGAGACAGTTGCTTAGTTGCCTCACGGGCCTCAAACTTGGTGATCCTCCTGCCGCAGCCTCCCCAGGAGCTGGGATTGCAAGCATGCACCACCACGCATGGTTTATATTTTTAGTGACGCTGGTGTTGAGACAATAAGACTGGCAGAACGCTTCAGTATTTCCTTCTGTAAAGTGGACTTATTAATAGTCCCGACCTCTCAGGGAGTTCCATCAATGAGAAAACCCAACTGGCACTTAGCTTTAGATGTTATATTTAAAAGCGTCAAAGCCCGAAGGGAAGAGGGCCCTCCTGGAGCTGCTCTGCAGAAGTCCCTGGGGTGATTGTTTTTGGAGCTCACTGAAGACCAACACCTGACCAGGTATTGAGTTCCACCGGGGGCTAACGGATGGGTTGGGTGGTGGGGTCTGCGAGAGGGCAGCTTGGCTGGGGCGGAAGGTCAGAAACTTGCCCACCCGTTTGATCCGAATCTGATCCTGGGCCTAACAGAGACTGGGGCTCACCCGCTGAAGGTTTGGGGTGGAGTCCTGGGAGCCGAGAGCCTGGCGTCCAATGAGAAACAGGGTGGGGCTGACTCTGACCAATCAACAGCTGCCCCCGAACTGGGCTGCGGGCCAGGGGAGGAGCTTGTTCTTCCCAGGGGCTGGTGGGCTTGCAGCAGCCCCAGAGGCCTTCCCCAGCACCTCCAGCGACCAGCCTCCAGGCCTGTGGATCTGCTCCAGAAACAAACTCCTTGTTCTCTGCTTATTGGTCCTGGTTGACCCTGCCAATTTAAAAAAAAAATATTATTATTATTATTATTTTGGTACAGGAATTGAACCCAGAGTCCCTTTACTACTGAGCTCATCCCCCAGGACATTTTTATTTTTATATATTTATTTTTTTATACAGGGTCTCTCTAAATTGCCGAGGGACTCACTAAATTGCCTAGTCTGGCCTCCAATTACGATTCTCCTGCCTCAGCCTCCAGAGTCGCTGAGATTACAAGTGTGTGCCACCACGCCCAGCTGGTTCCTTTGACCTTACTGCGAATCCCATTACCCAGGTGAGGACTGCGGCTTCCGTTCACTGTTTGCCTCAGGCCTGAGCACAGGGAAGGCGCTAAATAGATGCTGTCTGAATAGCAACCTGATGGTGCTCCCTGCTCCTTGTTGCCAGAGCTGACAGCAGTTAAAATAGCAGTAGGGACTCTTTTCTGAGCGCCTGCTGGATACTGGGCACAATTCACCCTCATCTTGTGGGGCAGGGGTATCATTCCCATTTTCTGGAGAAGGAATGGAGACTTAAAGCTCGGCCCTTCTTTAAGTCATGCCCAGGTTCTCTCTTGCTTTCTAAACTCGGGCCCAATGCATATCCAGCTCCTCTGGCCCTGGGACCCAGTGGGAATAGGCTTCTCTGGCACCTCTGGCGCTCTTCCACCTGGCGAGCTGGCGCGGGGCCTGGGCTCAGCTGGGGCCTTCTCTACCCCGTCTGGGGGTCTGAGTGGCTTGCAGGCTCCCAGCTCACACCAGAACCTTCCTCCCCGAGCCTGGCTTCAGGCCGGAGCTGTGGAGGTGGGGGGAACAGGAGGGGAGGGGAGGCATGTCACCATATATCCCTGTCAGATTAAAAAACTAATTTGAAAAGATTAATGTATTCCATTCTTGTTACGCTGGCTCTGATACCTCTGGGCCTGCGGCCGCTCTGCCTCCTGATTATTGAATTTTTATGGCCTGGTAATTAATTGCAGATTCCCTGTTTTGTTCTATTTCTTTTTCTCTGACATTTTAATTTCAACAAAAAGCAGTGGTCTCCATGCAGGTTCTCTCTGGAGATCCTAATGGTCTATAAAACAGAATGACTTATAGACGTGGCACCCACTTCAGTTGGCGAGCGATTGTTTGAAACCTTGCTGATCACGCAAAATTTAATTTTTCCACCTCCCTCCCCCCTTTACTCCTCATTTCTTGTCTTTTCCGTTGCTGCGCCAGCCTCTCAGCTCACGATGAAGTCAAAGTGTCGCCTCTGGATCTGTTACAGGGCCTTTTCCTAGGAGGCTGGGGCAGAGGATAAAGTGGGGTTTGATGCTTCCCCTGGGCAGGCAGTGATCCTGGTGGTGTGGAGGGGAGATGGGCTTTCCCACAGGGCCATGTGGAGAGGGAGCAGCCTTGCCACATATCTCACTTGCCCTTTTGGCTAAAGGCTGCTGCCCCATGAGGTACCTAGGAACTGGCAGGCTCCCCAGGGCAGAGAAAATGGGTTTTGATACACGCCCATATGCTCCCACCAAGCAGTGGAGAAGACCCAGGAGACTGATGCAGATAGATTCAGAGAGACATTCAGATATTCTTAGCCAAACTAGGTCAAAGGGAACAGCTGTCCACAAAGACAGGTCTGAAGGAGACCCCTGTATTTCTAGCCTAATGCCCCCAAGTTCTTCCACCTTGCTAACATCAGGCTGGGTCCCCTGCTTTAGGGCCTCGCAGGACTGGGCAGGGCAGGGACAGAAGGGAAAGGTTACAGAATCAAATTGGGCCTCCAGGATTGGAACTCAGATGTCCCCAGAGCCAGGCAGGTGAGGCAAGTGAGGGCGGGTGAATGGGGCTGTGGGGACCGCTGCTCCGGAGCTCGGGTACCATCAGAAGGTGCTACAGCCACTTAACTTCACCCCCTGGCCGACAAGTGGGAAGATGGGCCAGCTGTGGCCAGAGCTTCTGCTTCTTCAAGAGGGGTTAGAAGTCTGGTGTTTGGTGTAAAACCTCACACTTTTCAAACGTTGGGAGACTTTCAGATTTTTTAAAACACCATGACAGTCAAATAGTATCCCACTTTGACAGATGTGTCTGTCCTGGCTCATAGGGCACCAGTTTCCTCTCAGTGGAGTATGGAGCAGAGAAGTTAGGACATGAAGAGGAGGTCCTCAGTGCCCGCTGGCCATCCCTGTTCTGCCCCAGGAACTCTCTTCCTCCCTTTGGGCCCTCCAGGCTCCTCTCCACATGCAGCGAGCTTTGCCCACCACCTCGGGCTGCTCTCCAGGGCTTGGTGGCTTTAGGTCTCATCACAGAGAAGCTTTCAGCCTAAAGTCTCATCACATCTGGGTGACTTCTGCCATGCTCCACAGAGGTAATGGCACCTTTTAACCTAAGACTTTAAGGGATCCAGGGATTCCTGGGACGAAATTGCCAATTCAAGCAAGAGGGGATAGACTATGGTTCAGAGGCTTCCAGGGGAGGATGGGAGCCCATAGCCTGGTCCCACCTCTCTGTGCTTAGATACTGAGGAGTGGACACTGACAATTCCTCTTGTGTCTCAGTTTCTTCATTTGGAGAATCCAAAGGGGAAAACAAGAGTGTGGACTGTGGAGGCAGGTGAACTTGGGTTTAAACATTGGTTTCACCGATCACTTTGTTCTGAGTGAGCTCAGAGTGTCTCAACCAAATAATTAATGGGGATTGTTAGGGTGTGGATCTTAAATGTCTCCAAAGGCCCATGTGTTGAAGACTTGGGTACCTGATCTGTGGTGCTTTTAGGAGATGGTGGCACTTTAAGAGGAGGGGCCTAATGGAAGGCTGTTAGGTCATTGGGGCGGGGCCTTGGGGGGGATATAGGGAATTCAGCCCTTTCTCTCTTTGCTTCCCAGGTCTGCCAACATGCTTCTGCTGCCATGATGTACTTTACCACCACAGGTGCAAAGCAACTGGGCCAAGTGACCATGGACTAAAACCTCTGAGACTATGACCCAAAATAAATAAATAAATCCTAACTCTCACTTTTTTTTTTTGAGACCAGGTCTTGGAAATTGCTGCTGATCCTCCCAAGAGGAGGAAACCCAAACTCCTGCTCTTCCTGTCTTAGCATCCTGAGTAGCTGGGATTAGAGGTGTGTGCCACCAGGCCCAGTTCCTCCTTTTCAGTTAATTTTTCTCAGGTATTTTGTCATGGTGATGGAAATCTCACTAACCCAGGGGTGGTACTTCTGACTTAGTGGTTTAATTGTTTTTATTTTGTGGTGCTGGGGGTTGAACCCAGGGCCTTGCCCATGCTCGGCAAGTGCTCTACCACTAAGTCACACCCCAGCCCTGCATAATGAATCACCACAAACCTAATACTTTAAAACAACACCCATGTGTTCTCTCACACTTGTGAAGGCCAGAATTGTGGCCAGGCTGGATTCTCTGCTTAGGCATTCTCCAGGTTCATGTCAAGGCATTGGCCGGGGCTGCAGTTCTCAAGTCTTCTAAGCTCACCGGCTCTGGACAGAGTTCTGTGCCTTCTCATGAAACCCCTCCATCTTCAAGATCAGCAAAGGCACCTTGAATTTTTTGGGTGCCTCAAATTACTCTGCTTTCCTCTTTGGCTTTTAAGGGTTCGTGTGGTTACCTTGGGCCTAGCGGGATAACCTCTCTATTTGCAGGTGATTGTTTAGTAACCTTAGTTACATCTGCAAAGTGCCCTTGGCATGTAAGTTAACAACCAAGGAGTAATGCCGATGTCGGAGAGCATAGGGCCAGACTATTGCTGGCACAGCCTCCTGGAAGGTTACAAGGTTTAAAATGCCCCTACCTGGTCCCCCTCCCCCATCCTGAGACCATGGCATTGGATACTTAAACACCTGATTCCAGGCTTCTGCACTCAGGGGCTTGGTGGGGATGATCCTCACAGCAGTTCTTTCAAGGAGCTACTATCGTGATCCTTTTCCAGATGTGCAAACTGGAATTTCACATACCAGAAAATATCAGCAACAGAGCTAAGGTGTGATCATTTTTTATTTTGAGTAAAGGACTTGCTAAGTTACTTAGGCCTCCCTGAGTTGCTGAGGCTGGCCTTAAACTCAGTGATCTTCCTGCCTCAGCCTCATGGGTCACCGGGGGATTACAGGTGTATGCCCCCACATCTAGTAATTTCTTTCTCTTGGGAGGACCACCAGGTATCAGAATTTTACATGGGATGCAATTTTGCTGACTGAATTTTAGGCCTGGTGCTCAGGTATTCTGGGGAGTCCCCACCAGGTGAGTACGTGGTCTTTCCTGTTTCTCTTTTTTGGACTGGGTATGGTGGCCAGGACTGCCATGTCACAGCCACTCCCGTGTCTCATTCCTTCTGCTGGATGCTTTGGCTGATCCAGTAGTCGAGACCTCATGGAATTCTTTTAAGAATTGGTGAGGTTTCCCTGTAGCTCTTCTCTCTCCACGTTGAGCTCCTGGTCTATGCAATGAATCTCCCCATCCCCCATAGAAGATGAACGCTACCCAGACTCCCTTGCAGGCACATGACCTGACTTCTGCCAATCAGATGCATGAGAGAGATTGATGCTCTGGCATCCGTGTGGTGTGGTGTGGCGGGCCTCCTCCCAGGGCTGGTGGTGGTTGCTGTATATTAGTTAGAACAGTCCTGTGGTGTCCCTGGGTGGGGTTCCTCCCTGCTGTTTGCGGCAGAGTAGAATTAGCTATTTGCCACACAGTGAATTCTGGTGTTTGCCATAAAGTGGAATCTGCTGTTTGCCACAAGGGGGCTTCTGTGGTTTATAATGAAGAGCCCTGCCTGGCGCACCGTCCTCTGTGAGACTCGGATTCCTGGACTTCTAGCCAACAACATTAAAGTCTACCTTAGAGCCTGCCCTTCTTCTGCTTTGACAACAACGGAAGCCTCATAATGTTCAGGCAACAACATGCCCAAATCTGGGGGATAAACTGTGATTAGCTACAGGCTGTCATAACCATCCCTGTCTTTTTCCCAAGATATCTGCATTCTTACTGTACCATGCGTTAGGTTGGCCATGTGGCTCATTTCTGGCCATAGATAAAGGGGTGCTTCCCAGGACACTTTCCTTTCCGATAACAAGAAACTCTTTTCCCCTCTTTATTCCCTTCTTACCTTGAATGAGGTTGTGTAAAAGTGAAATGTTTAGAGCCACAGCAGCCATTTTGTGGCCATGAGGCAACAAGACTAAGGATAAAAAAACCAAAAAGTGAGGGTGGTGAGAAGAAGGATGGAGTGTTGGTCCTTGTAGATATCATTGAGCCCTGAATCAACATTATCGCCCTCCAGCTCCTTGTTATATGAGAAGATGGAGACCTTTGTGTTTAAGCAGCAATGAACTATTATTATTATTTTCTATTTTTTAGTTGAAGCTCAAAACTGTATGAACTGATACAGACTGCCAAACACAGGAGCAATTTGGTGCTGGTGTAGGGTAACCCTGTTCACCTTTCCTTTAGGCTAGAGTGACAGGTTCCCCTCTGCACTTGGAGCTGTGGCCTCTGGGGAGCAGGGGTGGAGGTAGCTCCTTCCCTTCAGGTGTGAGGATTTTTCATTGAAGATGCCCCATCCCACATGCCTAGACTCATGCGGAGCTCAGTCCTTCCCCCACCTAAGGAGTCCAAATGCCAGTGCTGGGCACCCCGCCCTCACCCTGCTGCAGACCAGACCCTTTCCGATCCCCTTTGAGCTGGGTGCAACCCCCACGTCCCCCAGGTGAGGATCAGATAGGAGAAGTGACGCACCCAAGTCTCACAGCCAGGATGGGTGACCGGCTGCAGCTCTCTGGGACCTGGAGTGGGGGATCCCCGTTTCAGGGAGAGTCCCTCTGTCTGCCTTGGGGCCAGGGGCACAGGAGCTTCTGGGACAGTGGATGACCAGACGGGGTGGGCGCTTCTGTGCAGTGAGCTGGGAACGGGGCTGGGGCAGCCGGTGTCCTCTGGGCACATCAGTCGCGGTTCTGCGGCAGCGAGGAGTGTAACGGCGGCAGACTGCAGTGGCTCCCATCACCATTTACTTTCTTGCTCCGAGTGCCATGGGTCAGCCGGGGTGGCTCTGCTGGAGCTGTGGGTCCAGATCTTTCTGCAACCATTGGCCACCTGGGATGCTCTTTCTCAGTGGACGGCACAGGTGCCAAGAGGCCAGCCAGCAGCCCCTGCCCGTCAGCCTGCTGAGGTTCCATGCACGGAGGTGGGAGGTCGGTATGTGTAGACCACCCCCGCCGCGGGGAGGCCTGCAGGGCCACGAGGCAAAGACATGGGGAGAGTAAAGAGTCAGGACCAAGTACCCTCGGTCCCTGTCAGGTGGGACCTCAGGAGGGCTGGCGGGAGACTTGCCTCCCACCAACACTGGGTGGCAACGAAGAAGCACAAATCTTCCCAATTTGATTCTTTTTTTTTTTTTTTTTTTTTTTTTTTAAATTTTTTATTGTGGGTTGTTCAAAACATTACCCAATTTGATTCTTAGAGGAAGAGCCTGAAGTTCAGGTAGTCAGACTATGGCCACAGGCTGCAGGACAGACCTCCTGTCCCTTCACCCCACTGCCACCCTGAGCCCAGGCAAGGAAGGGCTCACCTCCCGCCTCCCAGGGAAGGACGAACCCCAGCTCCCTCAGTGGCACCTCCTGTCCCCCTTTCCTCCGGGTCACCCCCACACTCAGCATGTACCCATCTTCCCCAGGGAGGCCCCAGCCCTGAACCAAAGGGTTCCGACTCCCCTGCACGGAGACCTCTCAGCTCTTGTTCACATCTGGCAGTCCCCTAGCTGGCCTGGGGACATGTGCTGTTTGCCTTGCTCCGTGTTTTGTTTTAATGGAGCCAGCTCTAAACTAGCAGAAGATGGCACAAAGACTTCAGTTGGACTTCCATTCTGCAAAAGTAGAAGATTTGCCCGTGGGGAGCCCGCTTTGCTCTACGGCAGGTTGGCTGGGGCTGCGTGGTACCCTCCCCTCGCGGATGGGTCAGGTTCCCTGGCCGTAGTCCCTACCACCCCCTATTGCCCAGAACCAACAAACTTCATTTGCCTCACTGGCCTCTTGGCTGCTGGAATCTCCAAGTTGATTCACTTCCCAGAGGCTCAGAGAGGAGCGATAGCTGCTCAGGATGCACAGCAAGTCAGGAGCCTTCATTTCTCTTGCTCTCTTCCTAACACCCTCACCTGGATCCCAGAGAGCAGTTCCTTGTTTAGACTCTGACCTGGGCGCCCAGTTTCTGCCTCCCACTGGCTTGGGGTGTGGGGATCTTTTCCCCAGAGAAAACTGTTCACATCCTGGTTGAAGCTCAGAATGCTCCCGACCTTTCTGCCCAAAAGCAGTCACCGAGGGAAAATCCAGACTAAGGGGAAACTATGGGAGACCCAGGGGTTGGTCAGGTTCCTGAGTTATACAGGGAATCCCGCCAGGTATGTGGAAAGGAGATAATAGCAGCTAAGTTTATATAACACTTATCTGTGTCAGTCACTTCTTATGGCTTCATATTAACTCAGTCCTCACACCAATCCTGTACAAGGAGAGGTACCATTTTTATCTCCATCTTCTAAATGGGAAAGCTGAAGTATCTTCAGGGTTGCTCAGAGATTCAGCAACCCGTCTCAAATTGCACAGCCTACAAATGACAGAGTAGGGATTTGAACCTAGGTCTTCTGGTTTCAGGGCTTAAAGTACTAAACCCTGCACTATCCTGAAGGAAATCCTCCTCATGTGACTTCTCCTCATTGAGCAAGATAGCTGCTTGAGCTCCAACCATTATAACCTTACTCTTGTTTTCAGGGGAAAGGACAGGACAAAACAGGACTCACTCGCTCCCTTCCTTTCAGGAAACTGAAGATTTTCCTTAGAGTCTCCACAGATAGGCCTCCTTGTATTCTTTTGACCGCACCTCGTCACCTGGTCACACTTTAGCCAACAGTCTTTATTCTAGTAATTATGTGCTCAATGAAAAATCTGTACTATCATTAACGTTAAAAGGGAGCGTGGTTACTGGGAGCATCATGGCTGCATTTTACACATGAAGAAACAGGCACAGAGAGGTGAACCCACTGCTGGAGGTCACAGAGCCAGGAGGCAGAGATTACA